CGTGCCGACGGCACACCTGCCGCCCGTGGGAGCCGTGAGCGTCATCTGCAGGGACAGACGGTGCAAGGCCTTTTCCGGGGTTCCTGCTCTGTGCAGGTCCCCTGGGGTGCTCCCAAGGTGGGGGACACACTGGTGGGCACATTTAGCAAATAAAGGAGCCACAAGAAACTAAACCACTGGGCCTCACGGAGCTCATCCCTGGATCCCCGCTGGTGCCATGACCCAGCTCAACAGCCTTCAAGGGCTCCTGATCACTACAGAGTGACCCGTGACCAGCTGCACCTCCTTGTCTTTCAGCCTGGGACCTCCTCCACGGAGCTTCCCAGCAGCACCCTCCCACTGCCGCTTCTGCTTTCCTCGGCAGGCACCTCTCGCCCCAGCCCACCCTCCCCACCACACTCGTTCCACAGTCAGGCCCAGGGCTCGGTCCCCACCAGCCAAGGTCCTGCCCACGAAGGAGGCCTCAGACCCGGGCCCCGCCTGGCCCTCACCAAAGATCCCTGGGAGTTTGTTGGGGTACGGCAGCTCGTTGGTCTTCTTCGGCTGCCTCCTCTTCAGTGGCCTGACTGCCCGAGGGGCACGGATGGGACTCGGGCTGGCCCTGAAGAAGGTGACCATGAAAGGCTGTCTGGAGCGTGGTGCCCGTTGCCCCAGCAGGCCAGCCAGGCCAGGATCCACACTGTGCCCTGAGAGAAAGGAGAGAGGGTCACTCATGGGAGGGGGTCTACCATGGACCCAGTAGGGACTCTGCTCCTCAGCAGGAGCTGCAGGCTGAGGGCCCAAGGGGACCCACTAAGCCTCAGTTTCCTCACCTGAAACCAGAGTCCTAAGTCCACTCCAGGTTCCTGGAGGGCATGCCTGGGGAGGCAGGTTGGGGAGGCCTCAGAGACCCCAGCCTCCAGCTGACAGTGACATGGACAGTGAAGCATTTGCCAGGCTTGAAAGTCTTCCCCACTCGTTGCCTCACTCGACTTTATAGTGTCCCTGTGTTTCACACTTGACAGAAGAGACATCAGGGTCACTCGGGATGACCAGAGTCCACTGTTGGTGACACTCAGAACCAGAGCACCCTCCTTGGTGGCAGGACCAGAGGCTGTGTGCTGTCTTGCACGCGCACGCTCTGCCATGTGAAGTGTGATTCGTGACACCACCTGCTCGTGGGGGCCTCCACCTGGACACAGCAGGGCTCACTCTGCCCAGCGCAGCCCAAGAGCAGGGCAGTCACTGCTTCCTGCTGTGCATGTGCCAGGCACTGGGCTCAGGAGGGCAGAGACCAAGTCCCAGAGAACAAAACCCAGAGCCAGGCTCAGCCTCATTGCAGGGCCCAGGTTCACGTTCACCAGGCCAGGCTGGTGGTTTCAAGACCTGTGCCTCAGCCCTAGGATGAGTGGAGCCTCAAAGACAGGATTTCACCCCCTCACTGCTACCAGCTGAGGATGCCATGAAAAGCCCGTTCACCCTGGAGGTGCCAGCAGAACCACCCTGTGCTGGACGCCCTGCACGTGGCCTCTGCTCTTTTTCCTTTCTTTCTTTCTTCCTTTTTTTTAGTTCTTTTTTTACTGTGAGCAGGGGTAATAACCACAGTAGAGAAACTCTTGAGAGAAAACCCCTCCCCAACTCCCACCGCTCACTGTCCTTTTCCCTGGCTTTTTTCATGATGCACACTCCACACAGTTGTCAACACAGCAAAGAGGTCTATTTTCCAGCTTTCTAAGGTAAACCTTCTCCCAGTTGTTGACATACGTCTCCACTACAAACCTGTCAAATGATAAAGCCTCTTTGAGCAGATCCACCCTAATCTCCTTAGGTATTAGCTCATCCTGAGGTTCTTGTCTGGCTTTCGGTATGAAGAGCACGATGGGGACCTCTTCCCTCTGCACCCTCATGAAGCTTCTCACACTGAGCCACAGAAATGCGATAGCTGCTCATTTTCGTCTTTCTCAACAGCACCCATCGCTCAGTTCACATGAGTCCATTTCACCTCCGGGTCTAAGCACCAACACACACATATCCATCCACACACACTCATTACATGTGCATAGAAACACACACACACACACACACACGATACATTTATATGAACATTGTATATACAGGCTTATTTATTCCAACTGGAGCCACTGGGTTCTCCATTCCACACCACAGGTCAAGGACACTGGCTGCCCCACCCAAAGTCAGTCCTTCAGCTGCTAGGCCTCAGACCAGGTGTCCACTGGCCACTCGATGAAACTCAGAGACCAACCTTTGACCTATGGCATCACCTGCCACAAACAAATGAACTGGGCCTGTGAGGCTCCTTCTCAGGAATGTGGATGAGATATGTTGAGACAGGGGCTGTGACCTGCAAGTGCTGGCCGGCACTTGGCCCAGAGAGAAGCCCTGAGGGGCATGTGGGTTATGGTGGGGAAGCAGCTATGTGGAGGCAGAGCCACAGGTGCAGAAGAAAAGGCAAGGGAGGTCACCACAGGGACAGGTGGAGTGACAATGAGCAGGGAGGGTGGTGACAGTCACAGCGTGGGCACTAGAGTAGTCCCCACAGACTGGCTGACAGTGGCCTCAGACCCAGGGCAAGATCCAGCCTGTGTGTACCACTGGTGCCCTCCTCAGGAACCCTGGGCCCTGGCTACCCCATGACCAGGAGGGCTGTCCATGCTCCAGGCTGTGTTCAAGGGTCTCAAGTGGTCTGTAGGCACAGATCACAAGCCACATGAAAACAGTTACACAGCAGACCTGTACAGGCTCCTTAAGGGTGGCCTTGGTAGGGTTTGGGGACTTCTGGGGGCTCCCATAGCCAGGTGAGCTGAATTGAGGGCCCTTGGATGCAGCCAACCCAAGGTTTGTACTTTACAGGAACAAAAACTAAGGCCCAGAGGGGCCAAAGCAGGCAGCTGCTCCCTCCTCAGCAGAGGCCTGGCTGGAGTAGGGACAGCAGGGCAAGAGGACAGACACTGGTCATCTCTCAGTGCTCTGCATCTGGCAGGTCTGGGGAGGTCACCTCTTCCCCAGGACAAAGTCTCCCTTACCCACCAGCTCTGCTCTTCATCTGCCCCATCCTTGGGCAGGGCCCTGGCTCCCACTGGCTGCAGACAAGGCCCAGGCAGGCCTGGCAGTGGCCCCAGGATGCCCAGCACTGGGCAAACCCCATCCCAAAAAGGCAGAGGTGGGGGCTTCATGAGACTCTGGGGCCCAGGGCTGTGCTGCTGACCTGAGCATGTGAAGGTGCTGGTGGGTATGCCACCCCTTTATTCTTGCTGTGGGGTACACTGTGGTCTTCCCCCATGGACCTGTATGGAACACCATGAGGCCCCATCCTCACCTCATGTCTAAGCCTTCCCATTAAGGCCAGATGGGCTGGCACCTCACCTGGCCTATCCTGACCCCTGGCAGCGCTTAAGCCCTTGGGCATACCAACACTGTCCTAGGCCAAATTTTGCCCCATATCTCCTCCCTAAGGCTTCTTTCTGTTCTGATGCCAGCTTGCTCTTCCTGTAGCCCCTGCCCCACCTCAGCCTGAGTGGAAGTAACCCTGGAGCCACATGAAAGAGAATTCAGGGGCCTATTGAAACCCCAAGGGAATCCCAGGAGTGTCCCAGGCCTGCTTCCATCCCTTATGTCAGCTCTCTCCTCACTCTCCTGGCAGCTCTCCCATGAGCCTGCCTTCCCAGCACTGCAGCTGGAGACTTCTCCTGACCCCCAGGGCAGATCAGGTCCCCCAGAAGCACCAGGAGGGACCACATAGTGCACTCAGGGATATGCCATCCACCCCCACCTGGCTGTGGTCCCTGCCACTTCCCTCACACCCCAGGCTATTCCCACCCAAATCACAGGCAGGACCTGTCACTTCCTTGGAGTGAAGCTCAAATGGGGTCCTCAGAAATGCCACCAGCTGCAGATGGAACTGCAGCTAAAAGCAAGGTCTCTGGACTATGAGGCCTCTGGAGCTGCACTCGATAAGTGCACACTGCCTTCCAGACTAGGCCTTCACAGCACGCACGTGTGTGTGCTCTCTCTCTCTCTCTCTCTCTCTCTCTCTCTCTCTCTTTCACACACACACACACACACACACACACACACACACACACAAATTCTATACATTTTTTTTTCACTTTAGATTGTGAGACTATGCATTCAGGATGACATATCCAGAGCCCCTTTTGGGCTCTCAGGGACTATTTCACCCAAGGTCAGTTTGGGCCTCCAGAACAGAATCTGTGTGGATTGCATGGGACACTGCAATTTAACTGGAAAGAACCTGCCCAGGCCATGGGTGGGGTTTCTAGAACTTGACCTGTGATAAACCGCAGCCTTTGGCAACAGGGGGACTGTTTATTTATACAGGCTCCTTCCAGGTAGACTGCCAGCACCCACTGCCCCCACCTCAGTCTCTCCCACTCACAGGTCCCCTACCCTGGAGACAGCCCTGCCTTCCTCCTATAAAGACATCCATTTCCTACCAGGAAGAGTGTGCATGGATGAGGGCGGACGCAAGAAACAAAACTAGGAACAGAATGCAGGACCTTGGAGGAAAAGTCAGAGGGGCTAAAGGAAAGGCTCTCATGAGGGCAACATCACTTCTGCTCACAAAGTCGCACTTAGGTTTGTGCGTTTTTCAAGGAAATAAAATGACACCTTACAACTGGGTGTGGTGCACACGCCTGTTATCCACACTACTGGGATGCTGAGGGAGGAGGGCTGCATGTTCCAAGGTTTTGTCTCAAAAAATGAAAAGGGGGGCACTGGAATGAAATTCTGTGTGAGAGAGTACCGTGTGGCAGAGAGCTCTGCAGCACTCGCAGGACACACGAGTGAGCTTAGCTGTTTCCTTTTGTTTTTAATGAAAGTCACATCGCTCTTGAGAGAACAGTCTATCTGGCAGCAGAAGGCCTGAGGAGCCTCTGCAGGGAGCCAAGCGCTGTGCAGCGCCCTCAGGCGGCTACCGTCTCCCTCCCTAGTAAATTCCTGGAGGTGAGCTCCAGCCCGCACACATTTGGCTGGGGGCCTCACATAGCCACCTGCTCCATGGGCTTGAGGTTCAAAGACACAGCGAAGGTGCAGCCTGTGCTGATCTTGACCTTGTCCACTGTGGAGCCATTCCCAGAGCTCCACCAGCGTCAGCCTCCTGTTTCCAAGCAGTCAAACACAGCCCTCTCAGTGATGATGCGGTCCACGGAACGCTTCCTCGATAGCGGCAATGTGCACTTTCTCACTATTTGAGGGTCTTTGCCTTGGTGCAGTGCTCCATGGTGACCAATACTTTGGTCTTGTCACCAGATACCAAATCCATGGCCCTGCCCACTCCTTTCACCTTCTTTCCCGGTATCATCCAGTTGGCCAGGTCGACGTATTTAGAAACCTGCATGGTGCCCAGTATGATCAGTTTGATGTGTCCCCTGCGAATCATGGCAGAGGAGTCATTGCTGGGAACAAAGTGACAGTCTGCTTGCCTGCGTTGATGACATCTGGATCCACATCATCTTTCGATAAGAATGGGCCCAAGCCCAGGATTCCTTTGTCACTGTGCAGATAAACTGTCATGTCAGGGCTGACGAAGTTGCTGGCCAAGAGAGTGATTCAGATGCTCAGATTGGCATATAAGCAGTCCTCAGATTCAAGAGCCGAGCATTTGATCATGAGCATCCTTAAGTCTTCTCTCAGCGGGGCTTTCCCATCTTCTTTGCTCCACAGGACTAAAATCTCTCTCTCTCTCTTTATCCCTCTTATTTCGGCCCCTTTATCACGCGATCACATATATGGTGGGAACGTGAATGGGAGAAAAGTCCCCACGTCCACGATTTCTTCCACTTCCACAACCGTGACATCGCAGCCTTGCACTTGGGCACGTTGAAGGTCCTGGCGCTTCCCTTGAAGATCACGTTGCCGGCACTGTCCACCCCTTCACCAAGGCGAAGTCCTCCCTGAGGCGTGCTCCAGGAGGTAGTGCTGGCCCCGGAACTCTCTCACCTCTCGCAGCTGGCTGGGGATGGCCAGGCTGCCACCTTCCTGCACTAGCTTGCGGTAGTCCGTGGGCGTGGAGGCGCTCGGCCAGGGTGCCCTGTGGCGTCAGCCCCAGGTCCAGCTCGCCCTCCAGCTACCGCTGCTCGCAGAGTGTGTTTTCGCCCAGATGGGAGCAGACCACGCTGCGGACCTGCTTGGTGGCTAGGAAGAGGCCCTGGCCGAAGTCGTCCACGCCCACGTTGCTGCTCACCACTTCAGGTCCCTCTCCACTGCGGTCCTCAGCAACGCGGCCATCAGGTTCTCGGGGTTCCCGCAGAGCCCAAACACCCCCGCCCCCAGCATGAAGGTCGCCCGGTTGCGGATGTCCTTCACCATCTCCTCCGCGTCCGTGTAGAACTAGGCGCCGGACCAAGGGCTGGTGGCGGAGCGGCGGGCGCAACCCTGGGACAGCGCTGGCCCAAGCGATTGGCAGGGACATGGAGCCGCAGCCCCGCCACGGTCAGTGGGGCTCTGAGGTCAGAACAGGTCGGCTGCACCAGGAGAGTGTTCCTCTGGCCGCAGGGAGGGCGCCGCATCCCGGACGCCGCCTGGGGCGCGCTCCGCGTCGGGGCGCCACCACTATCCCTACTTCCCCGCCTGCTCCCCACCGAAACCCAAACCCTGCCGAGCTTCCTGAAACTCAGGAGCTATAGCACTGCAGGGTGACCTGACTGGGATGGTGTTTGAAGGTGATAGGCGCCCGTCACAGCATTCAGTGGTGCCAGGCGCTCACACTGGTTTATTTCCGCTGACACCCTGCAGTGAGTGCACCCACACCTGTGGCGAGTTAAGCTCCCCCTTCTTGAGCGGGGAATCTCAGAGCGTCCTTTTCAAAAAACCTTTGTCAGAACCTGTTATCACCCATTGCTGCTAAACTACCCTTAGAAACCCCAAACGCCTGGCCCGGCTGTTTACCCGGGCTCACAGTGACCCTTGCCCACCCTCAGTCTCCTTCCTAGGTCTCCCTCCTGCCCTCTGCTCCTCCATGTGGCCCTCTCACTGGACCTCAGACAGACCAATCTTGTGCTGGCCTTGGCCTTTCCATCCACTGCCTGGTATAAAGGCATGCTCCCGCAAATTCCTGTATGTGAAGAAGAGAGGGAACCTCCTTTTGTGGATGAGGAAACTGAGTCTTGGGAAGGTAAGTAACTTGCTGATGTCACTGACTCACGCAGCTGGGATTCCAACCACAGCCCCTCACTCAGCCTGAGGATGAAGCCACTTCCCACTACTGTCCTTGGAGCACAGGAACTGCCAGTGTGGAGGGCCTCTTGCAGGGGGAACTCCCCCTTCCTGGGGAAGGACACCTGGACTCTCAGCACCTCAGATGTTCCTCAGAAGAAGGGGAGGAAAAGCAGCTCTGGCTGAGGGCATCCTTGTGTCCAGGACCTCACTCTCTCAACCCACTGGAGTCTTCAGAGTGGGCACAGCAGAGAAAGACCAGGCACCCAGGAACCAGTGAGGCCACTTTGGACAATTCTAGAGGCCTCAGGCCTCAGCCTCCTGGAGCCCCAGGGGAGCTCACCCAGCCCAGACCCTGAGCCTCACCATCCTCAGTTTCCACATAGAGACGAAGTCCCAGGTCCTTGTTACGGTTCAGCAACCAGCGGTCACTGGCTGCTGTGACATCCAGCACCAGCCAGCCCTCGTCCCCAGCTTGAAGCGTCTGAAGATCCAAAAAGAACAAGTCAGACTCCCTGTGGACACGAAAGAACAATTAACTGATGGCTGAGGGCCGGTCCAGCTGCCTCTGTGGGTCTCGTGCCACCTGGGGACCACTACTGGAACATCTATCCTGCCCTGGCTCTGAGCTCTGTCTGTGCCTTATTTCACTGATAATCAACTCAAAACATGGTACTGTGCAGGTGGGGAAACTGAGACTCAGTGGCTCAGTGACCCGTCCAGGGGCCCACAGTCAGGATGGCAGGGCAGGAACTGTCTGGCCCAGCATCTTTCCCATCTCTGAGGCTCTTCTCCCAGGAAGCTCCCCTTTCTTTCTCTGGGAAATGCCCCTTCCCCCCAGGTGGGGCAGGACACACTGCCAGAGCCTTGACCAGGAGCCCATGAGATGGGAGGTGCCTGGGCCAAGGGAGGCACCTGTTGGAGTGCTCCTGGACCACCTCGAACATGCTGATGTGGAGCGTCGTGTTGAGAGGGTGGGTGCTGGGCAGCTTATAAATCCGGAACTCTGCAGCTGTGACAGCCTCCCCTGCTGGGATCTGGGTCAGATCAAAGCGGAACTCCTTCCAGTGGGGCTCCTGGTGGCCCAGGGCGCGGTCACGTTCCACTGGAAAACAAAGTGGGAACCAGGTGGTCACTAATAGCTGGGTTGGTGTAGACTCTGAAGTAAGGTAAGGCCAGTTTTCTCCTCCACAGACAGGCTTGTTCCAGGCTTTTCTGGGGGAGATGTAGACAGGGCTTCATGAGGTCATGTAAAAAGGACTTCCACATGTGCTCTACAAGCCACAAGCCAGAAACCCCACTTGTACCTGTCTCCTACAAGGCCCTTTCCTGACCCTGGAACCCACAGATGAGAGAGCAGAAGGCTCTCTTCTGGAAGATCCTAGGTTAAAAGGGAGATGGACATGAAACCCAAAGCAGGAAAAGGTCACAGAGGAGGGGGAGAGCTCAGATATATATGACGGCTGAGCTGGACCGTGAGGCTTGAGTGCAAATTTGCCTCAGTGTCCAGGGAGAGGGCACTGTAGAGGACAAGCCAGTAGAGCAAGGCCCAGGGTAAAATGACCTGAGAGCAGGGAGGGACACCACTGCCAGAAACTACCAAGGATGAAACTACCGAGTGCCTTTTGTGGGGCTAAGAAGGAAGAAAAGGGACAGAGAAAGGAACAAGGAGCACCAAGGTAGGATGACTCCTAGGGAGTCCTATTCAAGTTCTGGGAAGTGGGATCTAAGCAGCCTCCATAAGGAGGTGATGAATGGGAAGACATCTCAGTGGGTGGTGAGATGGCAGGGTGTGCTCTAGGCAGAGAGGAGTGGTGTGTACTGGTGAGGGGGGCTGGGGACCTCCCACAGATTCACACTCTGGAAGCAGCAGTGGGTCTAGCTGGGCCCACCTGTGGGAGGGATGGAGCCTTGGGCTACTCATGTCAGTAGGTGGCAGCGTGGTCTGAGAGGCAGACTGGAGGGCCCTGTGCAGGCAAGGGTGAAGGGTGGAAGACAGGCAGGAGGTGAGAGCCAAGGTGGGGCCAGTGGTGGGACTGGCCCAGCTGTCTGGGCAAAGGCCACGGCTGTGGAATAAATCCACATTTGCCCAGAGACTCAGAACTGCCCAGGATGGTATATTTAGGGCAGTCTCACTTTAGCTCCCTGTCACTTTCAAACACCAAAAATCTGTGTTTCCGGAAAGCAGGGTGGGAGTTGCCCAGTGCCTTCTCTAAAATCCAGCACTGAGATTTTTAATTATATGTATCTGAGTCTTTTTAAAAACTCTCTCTGGCTACTGGGCTCAGTGACCACAGGTCAGGTTTTAAAAAGCACCAGGCTATGCTGCCAGGCGGATGTGGAGAGCACATCCTCTCCTTGTGGTCCCCACATATCGCCCCTGGTCCAGAGATAGACAGGCCCACAGCTGTCCTGGGCGGGGCCAGGTGACAGGCATGTTTGTGTAAGAGCAGTTGGGAAGTTTCACCCCCAGGGAGGAGAAGAAATGGACCATGCTGTGTCCCATAGCACATCAGGGTGTCTTTTGAAGTTTTACTTCTCCCTCAGAATAGGACTTCAAAAAAAATTTTTTTTTCTAAATAGATGTAATTGTTTGCTCATTGATTCACATATGACACTGCTCTGGGTACTGGAACTACTTCAGTGAACAAGACAGATATCTCATGTAGTTACAATCTAATGGGAGAGATGGAATATAATCAAAAACAGGTAAAATAAGGGATACTGTTTCTTTGGTATGTGGTATGAAGGAAGCAAAGGGTGAATTGGGTATGGTGGCTCATGCCTGTAATCCCAGCAACTCAGGAGACTGAGACAGGAGGATCACAAGTTCAATTTAGCAAGCTCCTAAGGATCACAGCTTCAGCAATTTAGTAAGGTCCTAAGCAACTTAGTGAGACCCTGTCTCAAAAGAAAAAGGGGATGGGGATGTGGCTTAGTGATTTAAGCACCCCTGGGTTCAATTTCCAAAAAAAAAAAAAAAAAAGGCAAGGGGACTGGGTGCTTTTCATAGGGTTTTCAAGATGGACTTTGAGAAAGAAGTAAGATCAGGCACGAGCATTCTCATATGATGCTGAAAGCATTCATTCATATAAATTTACCCTTTGATGAAAGAATCCCAAAGACAGATTAGCAAAACGATGAAAAGTCATACGCAAAAGCCAATTCACTGGGTACAGGAAATGTCAAAGCTATGTCTGGTTCCACAGTCACCTCTCAGTGTTTATTGAGAGAATTACAAAAGTGGCCTAAATTTTTTGAACAGTGAACCAGCTTCTGTTTGGAGAAGCAGCAAATGGATTTAGTTTCTGAACCACCATAATGTGGCTACCAGAATAATAAACAATCATGAATCACCAACATGTGCCAACGGAACCCTCAGCCTCCTCCTCCAGCCTCTGATCAAACCACCTCCGGATCCCACGCTTCTGGGAAAGGCCCACTGAGGGCAGCAGGCGGCCTCCCTGGCCACAGCACTGTCCACATTCTGCCTGTCCACTCCAGGGCCCTGTGCCCACCACTCACAGGATGGACCGCCAGATGCCAAACCTGGTGTCCATCAGCCTGACACCAACAAAACATTGGTTATTTTTGTTTCTTGGACAAAATTAGACTCACCCAGGTGACCTGTCTTGTTTCTCACCAAGAGTCAGATCAATAGACACCCTCCTCCTCCAGCTCAGTGAGGCTGTCAGGAGGACAGTTTTCTGACCAGCCTGTCAGCCTCCCCTCCAATCCTTCCCAGCCTTGGAGGCCCACAGGGGGAGTCTAGGCTCAGCTGTGTACCCCAGGCCCTCCCTGAGCTGGCCCCACTGACTGTCTGCCAGTCTGTCCGTCATGGCCTCTCATGCCCCCTACCTGCAGGCACCTTCCCCCCAGAGGTTCCTTGGAGGCCTCCCTCCCCTGAGTTTCTCCCTTCTACCATGTCTAAAGGCTACTTTCCCCTCACTGAGGAGCCTGCTCTGACCGCCCACAGACCCCATAATTGATCTGCCCTCTTTCCCCTGGCTCAGCTGCCTGGCAGAAGGATGGGCTCTTTGAGGGCAAGGGCTGAACATGGACATGGGAGCCTCCCAGCAGCCTGCTCATTGAGGCCCCTGAGTTCCAAGGACCCAGAAAGGGGGTACCTGTCTGTTCTTCCCTAGGACTTCTTGTCCCCAGGACAGTGGCTCAGTGTCCAGCACTCACAGCCCCTTAGGCTGGCACAGATGCCAGTCTGGGGGTGGCTACCAGGTTTCAGCATGTCCCTGTCAGAGGGCCCCAGAGGCGGACAGGCTAGGCCTGTCTGGCTAGTCCTGCTGGTAACAAAGGCTGCGGGAGCCCCACTTCAGATCTAAGAAAAGACCCTGGTTTCCACAGCCCCGTGAGGCCCATGGAAGAGCTGTGGGATTGATGACCTATTGATCTTGCCTCCTGAAAGGGTTTCTCCCACCAGAAGCCTCAGCTCTGGGGAGAGGAGGCCCAGGTTCTTTCTGAGGTATTTTCAGCCAGGTCTCATTACTGACTTTCTTCAAGAGCTGTTTCCATAAATGACTCTGTACACATAATTACTGATCCAGTCCTCAGATGGCTTCAGACCCCAAATTAAAAGGGAACACCCGCACAGGCCACCACATCAAGCCTGCCAAGGTCAAAAATAGTTCCCAAGAGATGGGAGCAAGAAGGATGCACGGTTCCTCCAGTTGAAACCCAGGAAAGACCTGGACTGTGGGAATTTTCCAGAAAGACATGGTCACAGTGACACATCCCCTCTTGCCTGTGGAGGAGAGGCTTCCATGAGGAGGTGGGCTGGGTGTTCCTCCCCACCCTGTGACTCACCCCTGGGGGAACCCTCACCAGTGGGTAGGAGGCAGGCATATTCTTTGGTCAGAGCTGGGAAGGCCTG